AACCAGTGCTGCATTCAACATACTATGTGATATTCAAAAATCGATGTTTATCTGTGTTTTTTAATATTTACTTTTAAATTAACAGACTGAGTAATGTATAGTTCTGAAATTTGAATTATAATCTATAGTTTGATACCAAACTTATTGACATAAATTCATGAAATAATAGTTCAATAAAATTTTGAATGCAAGTCAACAAATGAGATGATGTGGCTTTTCACCTGTGACCTGTCTCAAAAGGGTTAACTGGCTTTCTGACTAATACATAAGAGTTTTAAAATAATTCCCTTGACTACTCCAACTGAACTTGGTGAAAGCAATTTTCAATCTCTCAACAACATAACTGAAAATTGATATTGAGAACAACTTAGCAGTATATATGTCATTTAGTAAGTTAAAAATTTGTATTTCTATTACTTATAAATGATGTAATAGAAAACATCAGAGAGAACTACTGGCAATTTTATGAGAGGATGCGACAAGTGGGCATGCAAGTGGGTTTGGCTTTCTCCTTGGCATGTGGACAAAAAGAAGATTGAAGGCTATAAAAAATTAGACTATGCCTCAGTAATATCTATACCATAATGAGTAATTTATATTAAACTCGGGACATCACAAAAGGATGATTTAAAAAAAAGAGGATGGTTAAGATGTAGCTAACAAATGTCACGATTCTTAAATATGGTGAGACTGGGGATTTATTTGAATATTTCCTTTTAGAATTAAGAAATTAAAATTTGATTTATTAACTATATTTTGATACCAAGTTTATTCTACTACATTGATAATAAAGTAGTGTGATTAAATTTTGAATATAACTGAAATGTTATTACGTGCACTTTAACCTACTTGTAGAGAGAGAGAGAGATAGTAAAGGTTATGAATCAAGTTATCAATCTGTTCACCTTCACAATATTAAGCTAATCAGATGAAGTTATATTTGCATTTAAAAACATCACTCTCTGGAATATAAAGTTTTTATTTCTCAGATGGCTTCATAGGCACTACTGGATAGTATTTTCATACTACCTGCTGTCTTGAATTTCTGCAAGATACTTTTAGTAGGTGACATCATTATGGCATTGTGGCTAGATTGGGTACTGGAGTACATCAAGGGGGAAGTTGAAAGTAAATACAAATTTCATGTTGGGATTCCTTTTGCTATTGCTTGAGCTGTATTACTTCCAGAAACCTTTTCTTCCAAGTTCTATCATAAAAGCATACCAATTTCTGTCAAGGACCTAACAGCTGCCAGTAATGAGAACCATTGCATTGTCTTTGTCTTCTTTAAGGAGACTGCATCAAGCTGTAAAACTTCATAAAGTTTTTAATTTTCTATATTTTACAATAGCATGAGATACATAAAACAGATATTTCTTACCATGGTCTGAAATTTTTTTAAACATGGTACTTGATTTGCTGCCTGTGATGCAGCTTTAGCAATTCTGTAATACAGTGAGCAGTTGTCATTATAGTTGACAAAACAGACTGATGGACAGCAATCCCATTCTTACAGCAGCACCATCATTCCTAAACCCAGCAAGTTTAGTTACTGGAATACTGTTCTCTTTCAAGATTTCTAAAAATTCATGGCATCAAGCCTTGATATTAATTATTACATTTTAGACTCATTGTAGTTCACTTTAATATTTCACATTCCTGTGAAGCTAATGATTGATGTAGTTTACCATGGTCGAAGAGAGTAACTAATATAGTAGTTTAATTTTGATCAATAATGAAATAGCCAGGAAATATCACAGGAAAGGGAAAGCTTCCAGGAAACTAGATGGATAGGCCTAGAGAAGTAATCAGTGTTACTGTAGTCTAAATTTTAAAGGAACAAGCTTAAATTATTTTATACTACACTGATTACATAAATCTCAAATTGGGTAGCTTTCTTTTTGTAGTAAAAATAATGAATGTTAGGAAGTTTATAAAATTTCAGTGGAATCCGGTTGATTTTGATATAGATGTTAGCTTCCAAAAAGTGCTTGAAAAACATTCTGAGAATGCTTAAAAAGTGCTTAAAATTGATCTGAGCAATTCAGTATGAACCATGTGCGATACATGTGCTTATTAAAATGTGGTTAACAGTGTAGAATAGTGACGTGGCTGTTTTGTTACTTTTAGGTAGTTCGTAATTGAGAAACAATTGCATAATGTTAAAAGCAGTATTTAAAACAAATGGTGTAAGAGAAGTCATTGCAGTCTTTCCCTTCAGTTTAGATGGTTTATGCAGTATTGACATGCCACAGAGTACCATCATTTTGGTCATACAAAGCAGCAAGATATGAATGACAAAGTTGTAAAATTGGCATTTATGTTAAAACACTGACATTTTTTTAAATCAGTTTTTTAACATAACAGCATAAATGAAAAATAAAAACAATATTACAGTTAAATTTATCATGCTGTATATCTGTGTGTATTCAGGAAAATGTCCTTAACAAATTTGCTGCCGTGTGCCCCACCAGTAGGTCACAATTGACTTTTAGGTAAGGAAAGTGTGACACACTGGTGGATCACGTATTACAAGTGGTTTCAGTGAGATAATTGAACATAGTGTAGTTACACACATATATATTAGACACCTTGGTTAAATGTGTGGTTGGCACTAGGGTAGGAATTATTAATACTACTGGTAGCAGCAAGCATGTTAATGAAAGCTGGGAGGACAATTGTATTTATTTACCTTTATTTGCATTATTTTGGTGTTAGACAGAAAAGAAAGTTTTTCTGAACATTACTTTTTACATACTTAATGCCATGGTATTACATTCAAATTTTGATGTGTACATTAGTTAAATAATACATTGTTTTAAGTACATTTGAATATTTTGAGAGTGCAAGAACTTTGACCATAATTGGAAATATCAATAAATGTAAAGTTTAAACCAACCACTTAAAAATTAAATATATGTAAAAACTGAAAGAGTAAGGTGTCCGAGAAAACCAATGCAGAACAATAGTGCCACTGACATAGAAAAGAGGGGCAGGTTTTGTTTTTGGAATCATAAGATTTTTTTTTTTAATATTACAATTAGTACACTGACTATTGAACCATTCACCTATGCTAGTTTAAGAACTTGATTTGACAATTTTGAAAAAAAAATGTGAATTGGTTAGTGTGATTTAAGAAGTGTTTGAAGATCACATTTAAAAAAGCCATATAAAGATATGGAAAATCATTCCTTTAATTGCCACAGGAGAGGGGGAGCATAACATATTCACAAAATACCAAGGTTTTTTTTTAGGTAAGGCCTAACACTACAGTTGCAATTAGTACACACCTAAAGATTCAATAGAGAGCAAAAACACCATTTGCAATATCCCTTGTGAATGTGGACTCCAATACATTGGAGAAACAAAGACCAACAAAAAGAGATTAATAGACACAATAGAAGTGAGGACTGTATAGTAAAGTGAAATAATACAAAAATAGCAGGATATGAACCATGCAATACCCCTCGCGACAACACATAAGTCAGCAAAATTGGATATCCCACTAGAAAGCATTCATATAGTTTTTCAAGTCCTGGTTTGAGAGACCCTGATTGACTTGATAGCACACCAGCTTTTCTACCAAGAACTCCTGGGATTGAATCTTGGCCATTATCACCTCAAACACAATCCTTCTCAGGCCTTCCCTGACAGCTAAAACATAAGATATAAATTAGTTACTAATTACTGTCTATTAAATAAAGAAAAAAGTTTGTAAGTAATAAATAATAAGAGATATCGGTCAAGACACGCGATTGTGCGTCATGCGGCCAAAACAACCTGCAAGACACTGTCTTATTAACAGGAGTGATCGTGTTAGCAATTTTCCACTTTCTGTAGCTCACGCTGTGGTTATCCACACTATCACATATTTTCAGTGGATGTGCTCTACTGGACCTTTATTTCACATGACAGATTTCAAGGCGATCCTCTTTTTTTTTCTTCTTCTTCTTCTTAATTCTTCATGTGAAGAGTATGGAACCTTTATTTGATAGAAAAACATACTTAACTTTCATGAATTTTTTTTCAAATTTGGTACACTGGTAGGACTTTACAACCTACAATTAGATTTCATACTTGGTTTAAATATAATCCACAAGTGAAAAGTTATTCAACAAAAACTGCTCAATTTTGACCAAATTTTTTGCACGCCTATGCAAAAAGTCATGCAAGTTATTGGTCTGAAATTTTTACTACAGTTATCGAATGTCACATTTTTTTTCTTGGTGTATATTGACAAAATGTCATGATATCTAATCAAAAACACCTTAAGTGTGAATAAAGGTGTGGCTAAAAAAGGATCAAGTGTGTGACTTAAAGAATGAAATCAAAATTGGCAGCAAAACTGGTAGCTACACTTGTAGCATTGATAAGAATTTTACAGCAAATATTTATTCATTAGTTAGCTCGTCTATATATGCTTTATTTTACCCACCATCGTGCCCCAAGTTGAACAAAAACTGTGACCTGACTAACTAATGAATAATTATTTTTTGTGAAATTCTTATCTTTGCTGTAAATGTAGCTACCAATTTTGATTTCATTCTTTTAACTCACACGGTCAATTTCTTTTTTTTTTTTTCTTTTTGACACATCTTTTTTTCACACCTGAGGTGTTTCTGATTAGATAATCGTAGAGGCTACTAACTATGACAGTGATTAACATTGGTCACATTCACCTTGCCCCTAATTACTTTAATTCATTCCTTATTTCCTGTAAGATCACTTTGTGGACGACGTGTAAGAGTAGAGATGTCTAGTGGTAAGTCCAGGCACACCCAGTATAGGGGACCACCATCAAGACCTTTCAATCCTGAGGATCGTTGCTATGATTGTGGAGAAAGAGGACATTATGCTAGAGATTGTCGTAAAGTGAGCAGGCGATACAGGTCCAGGTAAGTGACAGCCAAAAGATGGCTGCAAGGTTAACACTCCAGGGTAGGAAGCATGTTTACTATAGTATTATTTGTTTCTTAAAGTTATTGAGTTGTATTTCTTGATGTGTGTATAAAGCACTGGTAATTCCAATTTCCTTGGTTTTATTTTTTCATTCTAAGTAGATCACTTTCAGTTGATCAGAATTCAGTGCAAAAGAAAATGTTAAAACACTGGATTATTTGTCAGAGCTCACAGCTGCTAAACATGAGTAATATTTATATTTCTAACTATGTTTTTGTAGGCTAAGTCATCTTCATGTGGTTAATATCGGCTAGTTGCGGCTAGAGTTGATACATCACTGACACCTGTCATCACTAGTCAAGTGATCAGCTGCAGCATGTCGTCATTCTGCTAGTTTTTCTGCATAGTTCAGCTCAGCACATGTCACAACTTTGTTTTGCCAACATACCAGTGAGATGTTGGTCATCTGATTCATCTCAGCTGTTCTGGTTACTTCCGTTTTCATCTTCAGTGTTTGTTACATCTGTCACTGTTCGTCTGTTGTCATCTTTGATCAACAGACATCGAAGGTTTACACAGCTATCCTGACATTTCCACCATAAATATCCAGAAAACTTGTGGTTCATTTTGATTTTTTTTTATACAATAAATTAGAACGTAATATTTCCAAAAATTAATAATTTATATAATTTGATTCCTCAAGTTTGGGCAACCAATGCAAGATAATTCTTTTACCAGAAAAACAAAAGTTTTGAGGAAATAGAGCTACTTTTTTTATATGGATCATTTTATAAGTTATTTTGATATTAGATTTACATATTAGTTATGTGGAAATGCTGGGATGTTGCAACACAAGGTAAGTTTAAATACGCAAAATGTTCAAGATAATTGGAGGTGACATGCTGAAGTAACAAACACAATCATGCTTAGATATATTAACTTTTTGGTAAAAAAAAATGTTTCATATTTTTCCATTAAGTATACAGAACAACATTTTCATTTAACTGGTGACAGCATGGGATGTATGCAGATATATGTACAGGACAATTAGCTTGTACATCACAATGTTGTATATCAGCTAAAATAAAAAAGAGGGCAATGGAACTTTGGGGAAGAATGAAGTTAAACTGTAGAATTACCTAACTCAGATTGAAAAGGTATAGTGAAGAAGGTGCTCTTTATAAAGTAAGGAAAATTGGTTAGATTTGCAATATAAGCTTTTGATCTTGTGTACATTTTGTTTAAGGCATTTGCTGCAGAGGTGAAAGTTTACTTCAAATTTAGTTTCTTCTGACAAAATGACTTGAAGTTTTTTTGGGGGGTTTCTTATCTTGGTCCTTTCCTGCATAAAACATGGTTCTGGAATAATGTGTGTCTAGTATCTTAGTTTTTGTTAAAGGTGCCATCTTGTGGTAATAATTTTGATTTATGTTTTCTTCTCACTTTATACTCTCTTCTTCCTGATGTTTTTACAGTTGTCATAAAACAGCCTTGCAATAAACGTTTCTTGGTCGTGTGGTGAGACTGACAGTTATCAGCTATCTGTCAGCAAATTGCAATTGTTTCCAAAAGAATAGAATGATTTTTTTATTCTAAATAACACGTATAATTTGAAAACTTAGTATAATGCCTACAAAATTTTTAGTATTACATCTATTTTCTCTCGCTTATTCTCTCAACTCTTTTGTTAAGTTATTTAGTCAGTATGCTAAAACACATACCTACAATAAAATGGCATATGCAGAGTTAATAAATTGAGTTTACATGATTGTATTTTATGCTATCAAATAAGGTTGGCCATGTCCTATTATTAGTTTCCCCGAACTGTCAATCTAAGGATATTAGTTTGGATAGCATTGCTGTAAAAATATGCCCCATATGTTGGGGTCATGGCTGTGTTATAAAAGTTATTTGGCCAGACAGGTGTAGCCCAACAATTGGCATTGCTATTAACTGGCTGCCTTCCTTTTAGTCATTCAGTTAAAAATTGGAGACTGTAGGTAGTTCTTGTGTAGCTTTGTGCAAAATTCAGAAACAAATGAAACTTGCAGAATAAGAAGTTTTGATCGCTGTCACAAAAAGTGTGCATTGAAACTTTGATAGAAATTATAAGGAAAACAAACTGATGTTCTCAATGTTAGACGAAGATTATAAGTCCTCTAAATATTAAACTTTATGTACTTATGTATGACATCTTGGAAATAGTTAAAAGAAATATTCCTCCTTTTTTTATTGTATTCATTGCTGATTGTTGATCAGTTGTTATTTGTTTGATCTTGAGAAGTTAGCCCAAACTCTTCAAAGTGTGTAGCTGCTGTTAACACTATGGAACATCTAAATAAGAAGTATTGAGGTATATGACATTTTTTTTAATTTAGTTATTCTACCATTGGATTTCAGTTACAAAAAGATATAATCATATAGCTTCAAAGCTAATAAACTGTATTGGACTAAATTATTGGATGACTTTTAATTGATGTTATGTTTATATAGTTTTCCTTTGGTTACTTGAGTTCTGATTTTAGCACAAGTTTTTAAGAATATGATGTAGTTGAAAAATTTCTTAGATTTTGAAATGTTATGTCAATTACATTCGAATTTTAACCTTTAAAAATTGTCTAAATGATTAGTAGGACTAGAATAAATAAAAAATTAATATTTGTAAAATATGAGGTTTCATGGGTTTCATTAAGAGAAAATAGTATTTACTACATGTACAAAATGGATCCAGAAATGAAATTGTTATAAAACCAAGTTAACTGCACTTTTTGTTTTAAATTGCATTTAATTTGTCCATTGCAGCTTGAAATAAAGAGGTGTATAATAAATAGCAATTTAGATCTATCTGTTGTCAACCAGAAGTGACTGTCTAAAATTTTTATAGGCCTATTGATTTTCCAATATTTCACCAGTCAAGACTGTCAGACATTTTACTGAGAAATATTGACTGTAAATAGTCATCCCAGTTTATTTTATGTCTGGAGCAAAACATTTCCAGCTGTCACTTTGGTTTTGTATAATTTAGTTGTGAAGAAGTATCCAACAAATAATAAAAGATGTTTGGATAATACTTGTTCACACGAGTTGCATTTCACTGCCTTTACCTCTAGCTGAACAATAAATGATGTCATGCTGAACATGCACTTTTCCTTCAAATATTCTGGTTGGTAGGAGTTGGAATTCTTATTTACATAAAGTATGTTGGGAACTATTGTGAATATGGTCACATACACTTAATAAAAACACCTTTTGCCCCTGATGAAATGGATCAGCTAAACCCTGGTTATGTAAGTGTACAATGCTAAGACGTTAACTACATCAAACAAAGGTACAAGGTGACCAAGCATAACACTAAAACAAGTGGTAGCCTTGTTTAGATAAATTTTTATTCCTATTAAGTATAAAATTGTAAAATGTTTGACACTTTTCATTTTTCTACTTAATGAAACCCCCTGATGTTTGATATCTTTACACAATTGGATTGGACATCCTTCAATTTACACGTGGTCCATAAAAACTTTTATTGGATAATTTATCTCCTTCCTTTTGATAAACCAGAGTTGAATTGCTAGCTGATATATTTTTTCTCGTATTCAAGGTCTAGGTCACATCGATCACGTACTCGAAGCCGCTCACGTGGCCGTTCTGCTAGCCGCAGTCTATCTAGGTCTCGCAGCAGGAGCCCAGTGGCCAAGGCCAGTAGAAGTCGTAGTGGTAGCAGAGAACGTAGTGTGTCTCGAAGCAGATCTGGCTCACGCAGCCGGTGAGTCCATAGTGAACCGTGGATCACAGGTTGGAGAGCTTTCTCCTTCCATTTCAATACATTGTAGTAAAATAGGGAGACAATAAATATCTGTATTTTATTATTTGTCTATTGTATTTAACAAAAAATAAATTATACTGAAACAGCTATAGCATGGTAGATATGTTTTACTGAAGAAAATGTGGTTGTACATTTGTGTGAATTAGTTGAATTTCATATTTTTTGTTATACATGCTGTAATTTGGTTACCTAGTGTGTGCTAATATACGAAAGTTGAATATATTATGTTGAAATGATTTTTGATTCTTACCACATTGTTACATTCATATTGCCACCTTTGATCATACTTAGTCTGATAATTGTGTCCTGACAATATCCCTGCAGTATATTTTCCATTACAGATGGATCCATATCATATTCTAAGCACACACTCCTTGATGCATGCTTTCCATAATCCATCTACATGGTTCATACAAGTCGTGGAATTTCCAGGCCTAGTTTGTCATGGGAAAATGCTATTTTTCAGTTAGTTCATGGAAAACGTATAACAGGGATAAATGTTTTTAGAAGACATGTACTGTATTGGTGAATTGAAACAATTATTTGCAGTACACTGAGCATTTTTGTCCCTATTTTGTGCTATTATACTTACTGATGGCATAAATGGTTCGATCTCATAAGTAATGAAAATGTGATGCAGATTTGCTCAAAATAAGATCCATTTATCTGTGAATTTTCATCTTCCTCATTAACATCTTTCACATGAGCCAGCCCACATCTTAATGTGGTTCTAAACAAATGAGTCATTCTGGAAAGGTTTGTTTGAGTAGACAAAAGGTTGTGTGACACTATTTTTGAAGTTTAGATCACTGGACCAAATTCAAAAGTAGAGAGTCAACGTGGAGAAGTTAACTTGTAAATGTAAAGCAAAACAATGTAGCAATAAAACATGCTTAAAATTTCATAGACGTGGTTGTGAATGTAATGGTTTATGTGTAACAATTAAGCTAAACAGTGTATCCAGGTCAATTGAGGGAAAAACTTACTTGAAGATATCTCAATCGATTTGACATACCAGCTGTATTGGAGATTCATCAGTTGGTTACTACATTGTTAGCAAAACATAAAAAAATTAACACAATAGTATCATTATCTACAAAATGGGGGATTGGAATCATACACAAGAAATCATTAATATCAATATGTTGTGAAACTAATGACACAGTAAAACCCAAAGATAAAGTGTTGAAGCAGATGCATGATGCATTACAAGATGGATGCCCCTAGTGATTCTCAAATTAAAAATGCCTTTTCTACAATGAAGAGTAAATATAAGACAGATGGTATAATGCCCAGTATGGTACCACCATAGTATAATCTATATAGATTTCATCATGTCATACTTTCTTTAATACTTAGTGTGTTTTTTTTCTATTTTAAAAGTTGTGCTGAGCTTCATTCATTGAGATCTATTGAAATAACCCTAAATTGCTGCTTTCTGGAATGACCTATTTGACCATCCTTGGCTCAGTACTTAAAAGATGCTGGGCTGGCTCTGTGACAGGTGTTAAAATGTTTAATTTCAAGGTGAAATAATTCATTAATGATGTAGAGATCTAATCTGTTCTTTGATTCATTGCTACTCCCTCTGCAGTAGACTAGTTTCACACACAGAATCACTTCTTATCAATACTGCTTGGAAGAAGAGCAAAGCAAAGAAATATAGCTAGGCCTCTTATAGTGATGGAATGTAAACAGTTTGTAGGCTTTCTTTGAAAGCCCTTGACTCACCACTAATAACTTTGAATTATTTGTGTTATAAATACTAACTAGTTAGCAAAATACACAAAGTAATTTAATTGGGTAACAATCTGTGAACTATATTCTTGCAGGTTTTACATAAGGATGCATTTCTGATCTGTGTGAACAAGGAAAAGCTGACATCCATATGATTCTAATCATTTGTCACACCCTGCATCATAACTAATGAAATAATTTGTATATTTATATGTGTGCTTGTATGTCTTAAATTTGTAAATTGAAACACTTACTGTTGAAATTATTGGATCTTAAAGTTGACTGATTCACATTCTTACTGTTCATCTGAGTGCTAAGATAGTGTTTAGGGCAATGTTTCTTTACAGCAGTATTGCTAAACATTTTGTGCACAATTATCCAAGGAGCATTGGGAAGGGAGAAAAGTGAAAATAAATTTATGAGAGCACTGAAGATCCTTGTTTATGTTAAAGGATGTAATGTTGATACATGTGATATGTTAAGACAGTATAAGAATTTTGTTGATAATATTGCTTCAAGAATTGCAGCTGTGTTTGGGCATGGTAAAACAAGGAATCAATATTTCGTTATATGAAACTATAGCAGATGAGCTAATTTACCAAAAAGTTTGGCCTGTGGTAAGACTATTGTTATCCCAGAGTCAAGCATCTGTAGAGAGGATATTTTCAATCAACAAGTGGATAAAAGTCAATCTTAAAAGAAGAAACTTATTCAGTTCACAGGATCATGCAAATGTTGGTGGAATTTCCAATGTTAAAATTCACAAAGGTTTATTGATTTAAGATGCATGTGCAAGATATGAGTATGAGACATATAATAAAAAATTAGGAAAGGAAAGAGTTTTATGTAAAAAGTCATGAAATAGTAAAATATTTCGCTTAGAAGGCAGAGGCAAAAATCAACATGGTTTTTCTTGTAAAATTGTATAGTTTTAATAGGACTGTGGATACCAAAAACAAGAGATGACAAACATTAAAGGGCATTTAGTGATAAATTAGGAGATTTAAAACTAATTAATCCAAAATGTACTTAGGTTGTAGAAATGAAAAGTATTATTGATAAGTTGGGGTTAATATGATGGCTTCAGTGTTGTAATGTAGAAAGAAGAATTTATATGTAACTGATATTTACCTTATTCTTTGCATTTGGCAGAAAACTCCAGAAATGTGCTCTGTTAGTGGTTAAAGATTTTTTGCATTAGTGGGGGAACTGTTTGTTGGAAAATTGAGGCCACAGAAGATGCCACACTTTTCTTAAAGCTGGGTAAAAGTTGTTACAGATCTCTTTCTGTATGGTCCTGGAGCCCAAGTTTACCCATATTCTTTTGTTTTCCATTGCCATTAAGTACAAAAGATATTCCTATCTTGGAATTCTAAAATTCTGATCTGAACATAGCTTTACAATCTGAGTGTATGAAAGTTTGTCAGCAAGGGCTCTTATGTACCCCTTCCTAAAAGCAGTCAATCTTTGGTGGCATTATGTTACCTATTAAATGCCAAATAATGTGAACATGTGCTTGTACATTCTCTGCCACCATGACTTTATATTTTCTGTGGTTGTCACATGACTTGCTAATTTGCATGTTCAAAATGCTTGTAAAATAATGTACTCAATACTTTATCAACACACACACACACTTTTCTAAATGAAGAAAAAAAAGCTAACTTAAACTTTATTTTAATCTGTAAATGTGCTGTACTTGATGAATGGAAATATTAGATTGAGATTGTGTGTGTGTACTGTATGAAATGTGCTGGGAAAGTTTGATTCAGGGTCAAGTTCAGTAATCAAGAACTAAATTGTGAAATAGAAATTGCTACATTCATTCCCAATTTTGTGTACAACAGTAATAATTCTCTACCATCTGGTTGTATTAAATGTTAACCAGTTGATTTTAGATATTTGTTCCGTTACCTTGTTTTTCATTTTACAGGTCAAACAGGGGTAAAAAGAAAGAGCCATCAGACAGATCAGCTTCCAAATCCCCTGTCAATGACAGTTCTGACAAGTAGTTTGACGTTTGCATCAGCCTTTTAACTTTTCACATTCACCTGACTCAACATAGAAAATCTAGGTTTGTGGTTACTCTTACGATTTAATAGTGGCATTTCAATGACATAATTCTGATAAGTAATTTTAACTTAGTAATTGGCTGAACATCACAAAGAAATTACATGCTTTATTCAACATTAACTTTTTTTTTTAATCACCAACCTATGTTTTCTGTGTTTTTGTGTTTTATGTCATAGTTTGTGTCTTCTGTTTCATTCTAACATGTGGAGAATTATCTGGTAAGTAAATGGATAATAACTGCTTAATATCATTTGTTCATTGTAAGTTTATAAAAAGAAGTTAATTTGGATCTCAGATGTATTTTGAAAATTAAAATTAAATTGAATTTTGTTTTGTTTTGCATAAATAAAAGAATGGAATAACAAATAATTGTACTTCTGACATTATAAATTTGACTGTTTGTGTAAGGAAGATGCATTCATTGTGTGCAGAGTCATGTCACATTTGCTTTTGAAGTTCAGAATTTGTGGTATAAGAACAACCTAAAAATAAATGTTGCATGTAGCCTAGTATCTCTATACTTGCTTTACATTTGTATTCATAATGTCAGTAAGATAATACATTCAGCTTTATTACTTGTCAAATCAGACAAAATCATTTTTTCTCGCAACTCACTATGTATCATTTGTTTTGGTGTACTCTGAATCCAAATAAATTTGTTTTTGTAAGAAACTGTGTATTTGGTTCAAGTTTATTTCATAGAAGAGAAGAATTTCTCGACTCAAGGTATGAGAAAATGCTTGAGGACATGCAGTAATGCTGAAGGAGCAATCATTGTTTTGTGATTTATTATAATTATAATTTTCTTAAATTTTGAAGATAAAAAAAATCAGTTAACATTTATTTTCACAACATTTTCACTGATTTTACAAAACCTTAAACTTGACTTTATTTGTATTCAGTAAACCTGTAAAGTGTTACAAAAATTTTCAGTATTGAATTTCACATGGGGCTAACCTTTTATATATCATTTTTTATGTTGCTTGCTTTAAGATGTGAATTATTTGATAGCTTCTCTTTAACAGAATAATTAACTCTGTAACTATTTTATTAAAGTTATGTACTGTGCTTTGTTACTTTGGTTATTAACCCAAACAGTTGTATTTATAGTGTATTGATATGTAAGTTAAGAACTAAAGTATTTGAAAGTAGAATTAAGTTGCAGTGATTTCAATCTAAGTATCTAAATAAAAAAAAAATGTTTAACAGCTAGAATAATGTTGAATAAAACTAGCACATATGGAAGGTTTTCAGTCCCTGTATTACTGTGCTCACTCACTCAGAGGGAAAGAAAACTCGTTTAATCTGAATACCTGTGTAGCTTTCAGGTGTTTGTGATTAATACAAAATGCACAAGTGTAATATAAATCATGTACAAAGATTTACTACCACAAGCAAGTTTATAAGTATTGGTTGTATATCAGTTGTTACTTGGAATTCTTATGAAACAAGTTATTACTAATGACAGTTTAAGAAGTAAGTAAACTGTGTATTTTCAGTAGACTTACTCTTTTTAAAAACTTGCAATTTTCAAATACCTAACATATTACTCTTTTAATTGTCACAACAGACAGAGGTAGGCAGTAAATGAACTGTTAAGATCAATCGGTAAGAAGAATGTGAGAAATATTTCCATGGTTAAGATTATAAGGGATCAGTATAAGTAGACATAATCACAATTCAACTGTAAATAGGGGAAAACATCGTAAACAAATCTGGTAAATAACACTGAACGTTGCTTCGTCTATTCTGGCACGTAATGCCCGTGAACCATTTTTGAACAGAATTGTCACCGGTGATGAAAAATGGATTCTTTAAGCGAATATTAAACTCCAAAAACAATGGCTCAGTCCTATACAAAAACCATTTCGCCTACATCCATCGAAAGTGATGCTTTGCATTTGGTGGGACATCAAAGGAGTAATTAATTTCGAACTCCTCAATCCATAGCGAACTGTTAGTGCAGAGATCTATAAGCAGCAACTGGAACGTTTAAATCAAGCCCTTCATCAGAAACGCCCTTCACTCGCCAATCGGAGAGGTGTTCTTCTCCACGACAGTGTGGCACGTTTGACGCAACACAATATTATGGTTCTCCCCCACCCACCACATTCTACAAATATGGCACCATCAGATTACCATCTTTTTCGTTCGCTGCAACACCATCTTAATTGGAAAACGTAGGCAGGGTATTAAAGAGGACATCGACATGTTTTTTGCTACAAATCCCAGTGATTTCTTTAATCAGGGCATTAACAATCTGATTGTAAGATGGAAAAGCATCATCGATAAGAATGAATACTTTCATTTAATAAACGTTTTGTTTTGATATACAAGTTATTCGGGTTTTTCATCTAAAAAAAAGCGACATTAATTTCTTGACGACCTAATACTATTGAAAGGATACAATTTGTTCGTAATAGGAATATTTACTGCCAATCGTTTTTATCTTTTCCTGATTGAAATGACAAACAATATTTTAGCCATGATAGAAAATTCATTATTTGTATGTATTTGTGTCTACATATATTACATTTGGCCACTCTTTTCACCTTTTATGTGACTTTGCATAAGTATAGACCTCCAGTGGCACAGCTGACTTATAACGCTAGAAACCGGGTTTCGATACCCGTGGTGGGCACAGCATAGATACCCATTGTGTAGCTTTGTGCTTAATTACAAACAGGCATAATTATAATATTAGATTTTATATTTGGCTTTGTCTTAGTTATTTTCCTCAACATGATTATCACACAGCATTCTGACCAGTTTTCTGAAATTATTAATATTGAATTTATAGGGGTCGTAGGTTGTTTCTGTCACAAAGCCTTGGATTTTCATAGCTGGCCATCCAGATTCGAATCCTTGCAGTACCATAAAATATTTCCCACACTTTAATAAGCTGTAGCTGCGTTATAGAAGTGACAGTCAATCTCTTATGATGGGTGGTGGGGTGTTGCTGATTGCTGGTCAGTAGTTCAAAATTAGAGACATCAGCAGATCGTTTTTACAGCTTTGCCGTGTATGTATGGTGTTTTTAGTTGTTTTACTCACCAAAGTGAATCTGTATTCCTCGAAACCTATATAACTATGGAAATTGTTGAACCCAATGATAAATTTGGCTGTATTTTTAGCAGATATTGCAACATGAAAATAGTTATAAATCGTGTAGTGGACGAGTGTGAAACTTAACACGCGAATATTTGTCACAATTTTACCAGAATTGAATCAAAAGATATACATACTTAACATTTGTTATTGTAAATTAAGTTACATCGTGTTTATATTATTTTACATATTAAAAGGGCAATGGTTCTCAAACCGAGTGGACATTTTCTAATTTAAAATATATATATACATATTTGGGGGGGGGGGGGTTACTGCACGGGAAAAGTGTTCCGATTGTTCTCTTTAGTCATACACAATACATTAAAATGTTTCAATGTACAGAGCTCAAACTTTGCATACATTTTACTGATATAAACTAATGTTTTATACATTGAAAGTGCTACCGTTTATTGAAAATAATAATAATAGTTGTTTTTGTTTTTAAAAGAACTCCAGTTCCTCAGTATTACATCAATAAAGACATAATCAAACTCTGAGACAGTCCTAGTGAAAGTCGTGTTCTTCTTGTGAGGAGAGTACTTTTATTTAAAATTGTGTTCTATTGTAAAGAAATGGTTGTTGCACGTACCACAGTTATTTTTTCTAAGTGTCTGAATTTTGAATATCCAAAGTGTGAATTTTTTATGGATTTTTGTTTGTGGCGCCATTCGATAAGTGGCGCAGGAGTTTTGGTTACATACATTGACACTGACATACATGCTACGTCCATTATAGTAAGATTATCCCGACTTTCTGTTGAAGAAACAAAAATACAAGAGTACTGTTGGACTTCACTCAAAAATAGTATGAAATACATTGTTGAATAATGCTCCCTTTCCTTCCTTCCTTTTTTTTAATTGAATTCCCAATGACCTCATTAAATACTAATTTCATAACCTGTTTTGTGGACAGCAATTGACTCAACACTTGTTTGTTTTGTCTTTAAATTCAAAGCCAAAAATATAGAAAAGTTGAAATGTGACCTATTTCAGTCTTTTTTGTTTTTTATCCCCCTTCTCAGGCAAAATCCGAAACAAAATAGCCCATGTACCATACAAAAAAAAATAGAGTAATCAAACCAGGCAACTCTGGGTGAGTAAAGTCAAATGTTTATAAGAAAGTGGAGATGTGCGCTATTTCAGGGTCTATTTTATTATTCCCTTTCTTAGGCAAAAATCTTAAAGTAGTTCACGTACCGTCGGACATCTTTCGATTATCGTACAAAAAATTTATTAAACTCTGGTGCTGACACACACAACTGACTATACGCTAGAACAGTAACCCCATTCTTTCCCAACTGTGTTCGAAAAAATTGTCTAGCTACTCGGGGGAGTCATGAGTTGTAAATGTTGGAAATCTTGATGTACAGTGTAACATTAATTCCCAAACTTCCTCAGTACAAGCCCCTTCAAAAAAAAAGATTTTTCACCCTTTTGATACCGGGTTCCTTACTTTCATTGTAAACAGCATATTTAATGAATATTTGTTTATTTAACCTCTGCTTTTTAATATTACACTCACAATTTCCTTTTGTTAAATGACTATGTATTTGCTACTTCTCCCCCCCCCCCCCGAAACTTTCCTATGGCCCCCTAGTTTCGGAACCCCTGTCGCGATATAAAGAAGAAAATCTGAAGCAGTTTTAAACAATGTTTTATCTGCTGCGATAGAAGCCTAAGGGGTAATGAGTTACATTTTCAGAGACCTTGGGGTTCGTGAAGAGTCGTATCTAATTTTGTTAGTTAAGCAACGCGGTACTTTCTGGTGATTTTCATATTTATATTGTAATACTACTACTACTCAGCTCATCAACATTTGTGTTAATCATAACCTATGAAAATTTGTTTTCTCCTGACAAATTTTGCCCTTCCTTGTTACAGAAGTTAAGATCCTAAGCCATGAAGTCTTATACAGAATTTATCACAATTTCTAGAGTAGAAAAGGTTAATAAATTAACGTCGTGAATCTCTTATTCAAGGCCCTTTTTCATTCATTTGCCATTGTCTGGTGTTTAGGAATCTCAATTTACAATCGGCGGGTTCGAATCCCGTTACCGAATATGCTTGACCTTTCAGCTGTGGGAGTGTTATAATATGACGGACAATCTCACTTTTCGTTGGTAAAAGAGTTGGCGGTGAGGGATGTTGACTAACTGCTTCTCTCTAGTCTACTACTACTAAATTAGAGATGGTTATTTCAGATAGCCCTTGAGTAGACTTGTGCAAAATTCAACAAACATTCCATTACACAGGAATTCATAATTTACAGAGAAGGCAAAGCTAATAGAACACCCTAGTGGTTCATTGATAAGTCTGAAGGTTTATAACGCTAAAAGTCAGGTTTGATACCACGATGGGAAAAACACAGACAGCCAAGTGTGAAGATTTGCACTTAACAAGCGGACGTTTATGAATTAACGGTAGCATGAATGTCTTACTTAAAGTTGTATTATTTCTGATAAACAAATATCCTCTCAGTTATTTATCTATCAACAGTTAAATGTTAATATTTCTCCTCAGGGACATTGTGTTACTTTAAAAACAAAACCGACGTTTTTTTTGTTT